TTTTTTGTTATAGACATGGCCTGCGGGTTCACTTGAAGAAAAGGTGCAGAACCTTGTGAAAACTTGGGAAATGGAGATGTTCCACAAAGTCAACTTTGCCGACTATAAAACAGTGGATCCAATCAAGTATAGGTTCAGTCTAAACGGTAATCATATTTTCTCCTACCTTCTCTGGTTTCAGTTTAAAATTCTGGTAATCTTTTTAGTGTGTAGTATTGGATCAGACTAGATAATAGAATGAATAATTTATTTTTTTTAAATGATGTTAGTTATTAAAATTTGGGCCTAAGTTAGTCTATGTTTTCATCTTTATTCGATGTGAGATTTATCCTTTAACATATCCTGTAAGATGATGGCTTTTTGAGTAAAACCAATCTTGAAATTCATGTGTTCATTTTTATTTTTTTTCAGTCATAATTGGATCAAATTGCACATTAAAAGGTTAATCTTATTAAGAAAAGTAATCAAAACTTTTATAAGTTAGACTACATTTTCATCTTTATTCGATGAGGAATTTATCCCTTTAACATCAGTACTGCTTAGTCCTCTGTCAGAAACATGCTATTAGGCTTTCAATTTGTATGTTGCATACTCAATTATTAGGAAGGAAAGGAGTCACCCTGGAAGAGAAGAGGAAGCTTGGAGGAGGTTACAATTCCCTCCTTCAAACATCCCTGCCACAGAAGTTCCGAGGATACAACCCGGCTGAGGAAACTGTGGACTCATCCCACCGTGCTTTTACCACAGCGTTTCCTCGTGGATTTGCGCTGGAGATTCTGCAGGTCTACTCGGGGCCACCAGCGATTGTATACAAGTTCAGGCATTGGGGTTTCATGGAGGGTCCTTTCAAAGGACATGCACCAACAGGAGAAATGGTTGAGTTATTTGGCATGTCCATTTTTGAGGTACACCATGGAAACAAAAATACACGCCATCATTTTTATATCTCTTCAGTTGAATGATCACAATTTAAACTGTTAAGCTGAGATGTGTGCAGATTGAAATAAATTTTTTGCATTAAAACCTTGATATGTGCACGCTTTTCATAAATTAGAGGCAGTGAGACGAAACCCAAAATCCTTATTGGTTTTGATATCATATTTAACCGCCTCACGAAGAGCTTAAACTATTACATTCATTTAGTTAAATTTAGTCTTCGAAATCTTTTCTTTTTCCTTTTCATTTCCAACTCTTTAATCTGGGATTGATTTTATGGCATGATTGATGATTACAGTTGGATGAACAATCGAAGATTGTTAAGGTTGAGTTCTTTTATGACCGTGGAGAATTGCTCGGTGGTCTTATGAAGGGGAACCCCTCTGAAATTTCTACCAATGACACATCTTCAACCTGCCCTTTCTTGAAAAGCACCGGGTAGAATTGTGTTTCAAGCTTAGAAACACAAGCAAATGAGTTCCATGTTGAATGTGTAATTTATATAATCCTGATACATAAACAATAACAACAAATTAAATCTTATTCTCAATAAATTTCAGGATATTTAATAAAATCTGTGTTCTTTTTTCACAACATCAATCTAACGGGCGCTAGTAAATAGTTACGACCACTAGAAAGTGGATAGTGGACAATTCTACTCCACGACTAGAAGCGTGCTTGTGACTCCACAAGTGCATACTAATCAAAATGCGTCCGTTGTTTACAAATAAAAGTGAAAGTAGAAAAATCAATCACAAATTGTAATTTATAACGTTGCTTCCATTTGACTAAAAGTTTTATATATACACGTTTAGCAATCAAGAATTATACTTTGGATTAAATTTTTGCAAGAAAAAATAGAAAACTTGATGGAAGCTAAAAGGAGGAAAATTGAACATACAGTCCCCAATGTTTGGCCTTGGTGGCTCTTTGGTCCTTAATTAAACATTTTCCCCTTAAATATAACTCTAAAACTTTTCAATTTCAGTTCACTACCATTTTTGTTCATAGTTACCATCTAAAGCCTTACACACTCATAAAATGCCTATTAAAAAAGGCTCAGGTTCGGTCAACAAAGACTCATGTCCTTGATACGACTTTCAAGATCTAAAAGCAGGAGGAACCCAATCCAACACTTTCTTTTTGCTAGGTTAGGTTGACTTTCATGATCACATTTTCTTTCTTATCGAAAAAAGCTCTTTCTCTTGCCATNCCAACACTTTCTTTTTGCTAGGTTAGGTTGACTTTCATGATCACATTTTCTTTCTTATCGAAAAAAGCTCTTTCTCTTGCCATTGTTGGTGGTTTAGTAAGTTTGTGGAAAGGGAGTGAAAGAGAAAGTAGCCACATAAAAGTTTCCAAATAAGCAGGAAGGGCAAGAGATCCTACTCCTGATTATCAGAATCCTCCGCAAAAAACCTATTCTAAATTCTAATATATGATTATTTATCTTTAAAGATTATATTTTTAAGCTATAAATACTTATTTATCTTCTATACTTTTAACACAATCTCCCATCTCTCATTTAATATACAATATTTTTATTTTATATATATATATTTTTTGCAATTACAACTTAATTTAAATTGCATTAAATTTTCAAAAAATTGAAAAATCAAAATAAAAACGATGAGCTGGACTGGCATCCTGCAATATTGGTAGTCCGTGGGCCGGTCCTGTCTTCAAATTTGGAAAATACTATGGGAATTAGGCTTGTTCAAACGTGTAATGGGCTTGGTAATTAGTAGGTAAGTCTGGGCCATCTCGTTTGGCACATCTAGTTTCGTAACAAGGGGAGTTCGGGGAAGGAAATGATGAACGTTTAATTTATTTTATGTTAATTTAAATTTATTATTGTTGTTGTTATTAATAATATACGTCAGTGAAGGTGGGCACCCATTGAGGATAAAATAAGGGAACGATGAATTTAGTAGATGAGATTTTTTTACGTAGAACTAAATAGGTTTACATTCATAAAAGTGATGCAATTTCGGTAGAACGTCATATGAGGGAGATCAAAGACAACATAATCTGTGGTAGTTGCTAAGGATATTGTGACTTCAAATTTTGTAGATATAACGAAGAATTGAGTGGTGGAAAATAATCCATGTAGTCAATACAAAATTTGTTTAAAAAGACTCAGTTTGTTGTCGTATCACTACTATACAAACAAAGAACCCAAACAACATAGTTGCAATTCTGTCCGAAGCAAGTGATTTGCCATATTCCTGAACCCCTACTTATGTTCAGTTTGATTACATACTTGGTAATAATCCCATGAAGATAAGCTACATTGCAGGACACGGTGATCGTTACCCGAATCAAGTTCACCACAGGGCTGCATCAATCCCATTTGGTAAATGGCACTCATGTGCAAAAGGGAATCAATTTCTGAATACCAAAGGAAAAAAAAAATCCAAATTTGCTTGTAGGAGCTATGGTAGGAGAACCCGACAAAAAAGACATTTTCTTGGACGAAAGAGACGAGCCTATGCTTACAGAACCAATCATATCAAGCAATGCTTATGCTGGTCTAGTTGCTGCACTTCATAATTCTCCCATTGAATCTTCTTATGTTTATGATTATTTGGGCATAGACACATTGGGCAATTTTCAGAATGTGCATATAATTGTTGTTATATTTAATCGGTAGTGTATGAAGAGGAATCAGGCTCTCATATACCGTATTTGTGTTTTAGACACTGGATTCACACTTACCGTATTTGACAATTGCTTACCGTATATGGCAGTGCAACTCACCATATTTGACAGTGCAACTCACCGTATTTGATAGTGTAACTCACCGTATATGGCAGCTTACTGTATTTGCAGACGAAGCTCACCGTATTCGCACAAAAATTTGCATAAAGTATTTTATTCATACACTAACTAAAATAACACCAAATTTTTTCACTTATAAATAGAAATATCGTATATGTGAAATCTATTTTTCACACATTTAACGAATTAGAAAAAACAGTTTATTTATTTATTTCTAACATAAATTTCAAGTACGTTGCAAATTAAATAAATAAATCTGCAAAATTGTAAATTAAATAAATAGCAGATATAATTTCAACACGAGGCCTGTGTAGACGCAGTTTCCTTAAGACAAATTCGCCCCCTGCTAGAAGTTTAGTTCGAGCGCCTGTCTCCCAAAATACAACGGTAACCAGCAAAATCCGAGCACCGCAATTCTACTCCGGTGAACTGGACGAGTGTTCGAACAATATCACCTTACTGACCGGAATGAGACAGAACAAAATAGAAAACAGGCTGGAAATTTGCAGACGAAAATTTCAGTGCTTGAATTGTTGGAAAAGAAGTGAATTATATAGACTGAATCTGACTCTCGATTTTCTGCATTAACCATTGTAGTTTTTGGAGTTACATTTCGGTTTTGACCATTAGAGTTTTAGGAGTTTCAGACGCTCAAAAGTCATTTGGAAAAATCACAAAAATAAAATTACAAAACGCGGACAATCCAAATTGGCTAGTTTTTGCTCCATTCGGTCCGACATTCGTGTGCGCAAGTTGCACCCGCACTCAAGTTCAAGGTCCGAAGGTTATTTCTGTCCGTGATTTGCACTCCCTGTGTGCGCACGTGGAGAAAGCCTCTATGCTACACATGATCACACAATTCCAATGCATAACCATATATAAAGTGGTTTTGGTTTCCATGTTTTTCCTATGTCGGACAAAGTTTTCCTACCAACATAGACCATTTTCAATGGTCCACTTTAGACTCCAATTTCTCATTTACTCGAGCTTCATTTTTGGCAAATAAATACATGACTTCGATATTCTCGCGAAGGAGAACACATATCAACTTTGATATTCCAAATTGGACCAACGGGTCCCATCGAAAATGTGCCAAAAGTGAGCCAATTTACTCATTTTTCCAACAATCCCTCACATGAATGAAAATTGGGAGAGACACGAAATGTGAGACATAAGACTTGGTGATAAATTTCAACGGTTGAAGCCTGCATAGGATAGGTAGGTGTTACTTTTTGAACCTTCCCTTGTGAAAGCATATTTACTTTACTGGCTGACTAGTAGACGCGATGTTTTTGAACTGTTCTGCCGTTTGTATAAACGATGATATACTTCAGACATGATTCTTCCTAACACCGTTCAGTTCTCATTATTATGTTCGTTTTGGTCATGAATATATGCCTGGTTCTGTGAGAGTTTCTAAGAATTGAGTCCCACACAATTCTCTTAAAAGCAGCCCCACTTCTTTCTCACACAGGTGATTTCTTATTACAAGTAACCCGCATTACTTGGCTCGATTTTCGACGCGTAAAAATCATTAAAAGCCTATTGCTTAACCTTCATGTTTACGGACATCACTGTTATGTCATAGGAATGGATAGGAGGTGATACTCCCACAGTGACTTTATGAGGTCTTTACAGTTAGGTTGTCCCTTTAAACCTAGATCTTGGGATCTCCAGTTAATTAGGTTGGATTTTCTTTGTAATGACTTATTCTTTCAAGGGCTTGAGTCTCATTCATTTCGATGATTTCCCAACCAACTCTCTATTTAACTCTTTGGTTAGCGAATTCGCAATGTTATCCTTTAAGCTAACATAGTCAATTGTGATAACTCCAGTTGAGAATAGTTGTCTAATAGTATTGTGTCTACGACGTATATGTCTAGATTTACCATTTTACATGTTACACTGTGCCCTTCCTATTGTTGATTGACTGTCACAATATATGCAAATTGTAGGCACAGGTTTAAACCATCTTGGAATATCCTCTAAGAAGTTGCACAACCATTAGGCCTCTTTACCACATTTATCTAGGGTTATAAATTCAGATTCCATTGTAGATCTGGCTATAACCGTTTGCTTAGAGGATTTCCATGAGATGGTAGCACCTCCCAAAGTGAACACATATTCACTGGTGGATTTTGAGTCTTTTATATTAGATATCCAATTAGCATCACTGTATCCTTTAATGACCGCTGGATGTCTGGTGTAGTGTATTCCATAGTCACGAGTATATCTTAAGCCCCTGTTTGATCCCCATTAAATTAAATTACATTACATTTCATTTTTCTTTCTCCTATTTTCAACCACACAATCTTCCATAAAATAATATTACACGTAAATCGAAAACTTTTCCTTCTTTTTCAACCACTCATTTTTAAAAAAAATACTATTCCCTCTATTTTTATTTTCAGGTAATGGGTATCAAAAAGGGAGTAAGTACCTTAGTACTCTTACTATACCTTTCCAGTGATCATTTCCTGGATTACTCGTATATCTACTCAATTTACTGACTGTGTAGGCTATGTCTGGTCTTGTACAACTCATTAGGTACATTAGACTTCCAATAACTCTCGAGTATTTTACTTGAGAGACACTTTTACCTTTATTTTTAGAAAGATGTTGACTCGTATCTATCGGTGTTCTAGCCAAGCCAGTATCATCCTTGTTGAATTTTTCCAAAATTTTGTCCACATAATGTGACTAGCTTAGAACAAGCACATCTGATATTCTTGAGATTTAAACTCCAAGTATAACATCAGCTAAACCCATGTCTTTCATGTCAAATCTCGAATATAATATATTTTTAGTGGATTCAATCA